CGTGGGACGAACTCACGGGTGCTTATGGAAGCACCAGGTGCATGTCCAGGGTTGTGATTTGGTCCACATCACACTGTCTTTGGCCATCGTTTCAGGGAGGGGTGGGGGGTGGGGCGACTCCTGGCAGGCTCTCCTCCTGGGGACACTTTTCCAGGATCTGTTTCCGGAATCCGGCCCTTGAGTCCCCCTGGTGGCGTTCCTGATGCAGACACCTCCTGAGAGAGGAACGCTTGGGGAGCACAGGTGCCCACCCTGGCCTGGTCCCTAACTGCTGTCAGGTTTCACAGGGACTGACCTTGCCGTTGGCACGGGCGCCACCGCCCCAGCACCCTGCGGATGGCGGCGGTGATCTCGCGGTTGCGCAGGCTGTAGATGAGCGGGTAGAGCAGCGGCGTGACGTTGGTATAGACCAGCGCCAGCGTGCGGTCCCGCTGTGGGGAGTAGCTGGCCTTGGGGCGCACGTACATGAAGGTGGCGCAGCCGTAGTGCAGGAAGGTGACGGTCAGGTGCGAGGCACAGGTGGAGGCGGCCTTGCGCCGGCCATCGGGGGAGTGCAGGCGGCGCAGGGCAGCGGCGATGGCGCCATAGGAGGCCAGGATGAGCAGCAAGGGCAGCAGCAACAGCAGCATGCAAGTGCTCAGCACCGGCAGCTCGTCTGTGTAACTCCGCGTGCAGGCCAGGTGCAGCAGCGCAGTGACGTCGCAGAAGAAATGCACCAGCAGACGGGAGCCGCAGAAAGGCAGGTGGAAGACCGCCCCCGTGAGCCCGACGGACACTATGAGTCCTCCGAGGCAGCAGGCCAGGGCCAGTCGCGCGCATAGCCCGGCGGTCACCACGGCCGCGTAGCGCAGCGGGTGGCAGATGGCCACGTAGCGGTCATAGGCCATGGCGGCCAGCAGGAAGCACTCGGCCCCGCCCAGCGCCACGAACATCTGCATCTGAACGGCGCAGCCCAGGAAAGAGATCGGGCTGCCCGCGCCGAGGCTGGGCGAAGCCAGGTCGGCCAGGGAGCGGGGCACCACCACCAGCGTGTAGCAGAGCTCGATGGATGACAGCTGGCACAGGAAGAGCAGCATGGGTGGCCGTCTGGGCGCCGAGGCCACGGCCAGCAGGATGAGCAGGTTCCCACTCAGGGTGGCCAGGTGCACTGCCAGCAGCAGCAGGAAGAGCGCCGGCCTCAGGTATGGGAACTCAGAGAAGCCTTGAAGGAGAAAGCCCCCAGGCTTGGTGGCATTGCTGGGGCTGTCCACGCGCTGGCCCATCCAGAGGCACCTGTGGGAGTGAAATGAGGGAAGGAGGAGCTTGTGGGGTACCACCTGGGGCGCTGCTGGGGGAGAAAGGGCCAGGTGGAAGCCAGGGGGCACCAGGGAGTAGTGGCTGCAGTGAGGGGCGGAGGGTGCACGAGTCCATCGCCAGCCCCTCCCCAGCGGGGACGTCTTGTTAACTTGTTCAGAAAACATGGTGCAGGTTTTCCTGCATCTCTTCGTGGACTAGAATTCCCATAGCTGCTTTCTCAGCATACTCTTGCCAAGGAAGCCTTGAGTTTAGGCCCTTTCCTAACCATGCATCACCCTGACCTCCACCTACAAAGAATTCTCTGCCTTCAGACTCTCCAGTGACTATTCTGAGGGGACTGTGTATCCACGAGGATTGTCACCTCAGCCCGAGCTCCCCAAGGCAGGAAATGTGTCCTTAGCGTCTGCTCCTGGTTCCTCTCGGTGCCCAACTCTGCCACTTCTGAGTTGCTTCCTGTGATGTGTCACAGAATCGCTAAAGCGTCAGGCCGATGAAGAGCTAAGAAATCATCTCTACAACCTCATAATTTTAAAGAGAAAAAGAAATCCGGGGGGCGGTGAAGGGCTGAGCTGCTCACAGAAAACCACAGATGGAATCTGCCTTCCTGAGGCTGAATCCAGAGCTTCCGATGACCACAAATGAGGTTGTAAAAAAAGGGCACTGGGATCAGTGAGTCCTAGTGATTTAGCCTTAAATAGAGACCCAGGTCTGTGCAGGTGCTGAGGCAGATGCTTAGGGAGCGGGGTCTGTTAGTGGGAGGGCCTTGCTGGGCGCAAGGAACAATAGGTTCCCAACGTTTTAATTAACATTCTGTCAACGTGAGAAAAAGTGACCTGTGTCTGCTGGAACTTGCCCTTCTGAGTTAGCAGTACATTTCCAAATTGCCAGCTGAACACAGTTTCTTTCTAAGCATTATCGGTGAGTCATTTGCAGACAATTGGAAAAATTGGCACCATGTAGTTTGACCGTGCTTGTTTATAAACCCCTGGAGCCGGGGACTATGAGCTGGTCAGAAATTCAAGGCCATGCAAACTGGTGGAGGCTACTTGAGTTTTGCAGTAGCTGTTGATGCTTTCTCTTATGTGCTTATCTCTCTCTGTCTGTCTCTCTATTTTTTAATCAATTTTAATTGTAAGCTTGCCTATTATTTCCTGCCGGTGACTCTGAGCCACGGTGTATAATCAGTGTTGGAAATGGGATTTGTGCGTAGTTGTACCATAGAGTGCAGTAGCCATAGAGCTGAA